TACAATAAATAAAAATAACATGTTTAAAAGCGTTCGTACATCACTAGCATAAATTTCGCTATCCCATAATTTCATTTTCGATATTTAATTGTCACTAATGACCCATTTACCCCCTCTTCCTCTCGCGTGACGTGTTTTACAAAGTGCTCTCATTATTTATTATGTAGTTTGTCCCAAATTATAATACAAATTGTTAATGCTTTTACCCCATCATCTACAGAAAATGGAAACATGTCATAAAATTAAAGTCTTAAATCAACATTTAAAAAGTCTTAACAGTGACATCTATCGTCTTTGAAAATAAACCATCACTAGACGAAACAGTGATGTTAATTAATAGATCATAGATGGCGTTACTAGTTTACCCAATGGAATTTAAATTAAAATGTGCGAAGTCGTAATTCAATTGTTTCCCATTCAGTAGATTGGCACAACGATCGATCGCTTTTCCATTTGGGCGTATAATGCATAGATTCGATCGACACCCATCATCATCAACTTGCCCTTATCCCTTATGGAGGGTCGGCACAGTATGTGCTGCTCTTCCATACCTCTCTATCAGCCGTCATATCTGAATCCACTCCTTTCTTAAGCACTTCTTTAACACAATCTATCCATACTTTCTTCGGTCTTCCTCTTTCTTTGTATCCATCCACATTCTTTCTTAACAATTTCTTGTTTATGTCCCCATCGTCTCGTTGCATAACATGTCTATACCACGCTAACCTTATTCGATCGACAGCCATTATTTGTAAATGACACATTATTTTACGCCTGACAAAACAGAAGACATTTTAAAAAAATGAAGACACAGCAATAAAGTTAAAATCTTAGAAGGCGAAAAGCCCATCGCTAAGTTCCATACAATTCACGTCACGCTCCAGTCCTTTTGTCTCGGCGAAGTTGCGACGTGTTTATGTTATTGCTAAAGCTGTAGGAATATTTTCACAACCTGCTTGTGTACGTGGCTGTAATTCAAATATACTAGGATTTACCTCGACAACGCATTTGCTATTTGCCGTTAGAATGGAGACGCTTAGAAATAACACAAACTCTTAGAACCGAAAAGGTGAACTTATGCAAATACTTTTTAAGGAAAGGGAAAACATCGGGACTTAATCTTGGAACATCTGTTCTAAATTGCACATCTGATTTCTATGAAATTCTTTGACAAGTTTAAGAATACAGAAAAAAAAATAACAATAGAAGTACTCGCAGAGACCACAGATCTTCATTTGTCTCGATCCTGACGCACTTCTTTTGTTAACTAGATAACTACACCTCAATCACACGTTTGCTGCCCTTGTGTTAAATACACTGTGGATAGTATAAGATACAATCTGGATAGTATAAGATTGACTGGAACCGGGACCGTTCCAGTCAATCTTCAAGTATCAAACCAACACGGAACCATAAAGAACCAAACAGAAGAAAAATTCTAACAAAAAGTACATGACACACTAAGATTCTCCTTTAGTTATTTTCACGTCTTTTCATATGTCGGGTCATTTCTTACAACATTGTATGAATGTAAGGAAAATCGGTATGTACCTTTAACGTAATTCTATTTATAGAACATCCCGCTGTTCTATATGATTTGATGATAACGGTGTTTCAATTTCCTGTAAAATAACAACCGAAAGTATTGGTTTTTTTTCTTTTATCGCGAGAAATATTGGATTCAACCAGTATTGTTGTCATTAAATCAATTTACAAAGATTACAGTATAGTAAATCGCATCGAAATTTCAGCGTCTTGTTATATCTGGATTGATAGACAAAATAATAATAATATTGTCATTATTTATACGCGGAAAGATAAGCTTCGAAATGCTAAGAGCGGGCGCACACCTTTGATTAATCTATCAAAAGACTGTTATGCGATTGTCGATTGTTTCGCAGCCTATTCAACTGTTCAATTGCATAACTAAAAATCAAGTAGAGTACGGACATCCATAGGCTAATAGGTATGAAAGCACGACTAAAAAGAGAAAAAAGACCTAGAAAGAGATGGATGGATTGTGTAAAAGGTGACATGATCAAAAAGGGAATGATGACTAAGATGACGTATGATAGAGTTATGTGGAGGACAAAAACCTGTTGCGCCACTACGGGAGTAGGATAAGGAGATGATGAATGAAAGCACGACTAAACAGTTGTGCGATAGTAGTAAAAGTGTAACCGCACTATAAAGGAATTTTTAAAATCGATTAAATAATAAACAAGTTAACCTTTTTAAATCGTAACAAACATCCCTGTTCTATATCAAACTAATATTATAAATGCGAAAGTTTAGATGGATGGATGTTTGTTAGAGTTTGTAGCCTAAACGTCTGAACGGATTTCGATAAAATTTGGTATATAGAAGATAGTATGGAAGAATACATAGGCTATTCACTTTTGTTTTTAATACCACGCGGATGGAGTCGCGAGCGAAAGCTAGTTCGTATATAACTTTATCTGTTAAGGAATGTTTTAGTAAACCAATTAAGTGTAAACTTAAGCTTCAAAACGATATTAGCCGTACCATCTCCGTTGTGATGGAGTTATGCGCTTCAAATTGTAACAATTGAGCGATTCCCGCGAGTGTGTTTCGAAGGGTTGAACTTGATACGAGATTGTTGCCTTGATTAATTTTGTTTTATATGAAACTTCTATCTGAATTTGATAATACTTGATGCATAATGTTGTTTATGAACGTACATTATATGCAAATGGCCTTATGACGTCACACCTTTACTGAGCAGAGCAGTACGGGAAAAGGTTAGTGTTAGTATTAGATGGAATCTTCGATAAACCTTGTGGAAACGGCTGATAGTCCACATAAAGTTGAGTTATTTTATGTACTATTTATTTATGTTTATTTCACTATTTTCCGTATTTGTTTTTTTTTAATCCATCAATAAATTAGATTTACAACAAAGTTTATGTTTCTGAACCTTAACGGATGCCCAAAAGTTTGTAACTTTGAAAGACTTTCAGAAGATTAACGAAAATTGGTAGCATGTTGGGTAGGAATTTTTTCGAATAATCTAATGTTTGGGAAAAAGATCTAATTATTTAATATGATAGTGAAATTTTGGTGAAAGTAAAATATGTACTTAATATAAAAGAATTTATTGAAAAAAAAGTTACTTTGAACGGCCTTATTAAGTAAGCATTAATAATTTCACTAAATAGTTCTACAAAAATGTAATATCGCATGTTTTAAATTACTGTTTAAAAACAAAAGTTTATTTTTTTATATGAACATAGACAAGAATAACACTGGTCAAAAATAAAACGAAATTTTAAAACAATAGAAACAGTCTTATACAAATATTGTTGTTGGATATTTGCTGTTGCTATACAGCACTCATTTTTCACATTGCCGCGAGTTCAAAATGGCGACAGCTGTCCAACTATTCAACAATCCTCTTCTATTTCACTCATAAAAATTCCATGTTATATTTATGAATACAGAATCGAAAATGCAAAACAAGAATCGATAGATACGTGACGTTAACAAGAGAAGAGATAGATAGATTTTTTTGACTGATTTGTCACTTACATTGAAGAAGCATTTACAGCTTCGGGCTTGAGGTGGCCGAACGCGGATGGCACTCAGTCTAAACATCGTTTATGAGTAACTAAGCTCGAGGGCTCCCTCAGGAGCCTCGGCTCGGGCCGTTACTTCGTTATTATTACCGGATTGGTGCATTGTGTGGAGGGATGTGGCGGCCTAAAGTGTAATTTAAAACTTGGTGTTCCCCTTCCATAGAGTAGGATAAGAACAGAGAGATGGTTCGTGTTAAAATAATTATCCCACAGATAAAAAATCAGAGAACATTAAAGAACTTTCTTTACTAAAATCATTTAGCAAGTAAATTCTAGACTAAACAATATTATCTTAGTGCTTATTCAAAGATACGAGTATAGAGGTTTAAGTTATACAAGATAAATACAAACAGCAGTAATGTACATTTACTTAATTAGGTATTGCAAACATTCCATTTATGTTTAATGCCTTTCTGTCTGTTATTAATGTCTAGATATATTTATAATTGTATTAATCTATCTCTGATATTTTGAAACACGGGAGAATTGCTGCTTTTTTTATAATATAAGTTGGCAAACGAGCAAGCGGCCACCTGAATCTCCCGAAATGGAAAGCGCCGCTGCTCATAGACATCCGCAATTGCAGATGCATTGCCTACCCTTAATTGACGGAGGAGGAGACGCACATAAAGAGGACATTTCTCTTTCCTATGCGTCTCCTCCACCGTCAAATCCACTTTTCCTTCCCATCCTTTCCTCTTAAGAGAGGGTTACAAAGGCAAGGGGACTAAAATTAGGCCTCCGGCACCACACTCAACAGACGAAACGCGGAATTGTTTCCACTTCACGCCTGTTTTCTGTGTGGTCGTGGTAGTACATCGGGCGAGCCTGCCAATTAGTGCGAAGATGTTAAAGCGGACTCTACAACGATATTAAACAATTTGGCCAGATTTAAACTCCAAATAGTTTTAGAGTAAATAAGTCATTTTTTTTTCTGTATTATTGCTAAGTAAAATTATATTCAAAGCTTGTCAAAAAAATTAAATGTTTCATCACATCTTTGATCTTTGGTAATTTTTTCGAGTTCCATTTTCATTTTAATATAAAAACATCAGCATAAAAAAACGTTATCCATAATTATGTTTTCAATGTAACACTTGACAAAAACAAATGAGGCGGGCACAAAACAAATTTCCATCGAGCTGTCATTATGAATACGTCATGCGAGTGACAAGGGTACTGCCTAAAATACCTTCATAACACATAAAATGACGTCATAAATATTATATTAGCCACTTAAGTGACAAAAAAATCTGAAAAGGGACAAATTACAAATTATATAGCATCAGTTTACTTAGATTCAAAAGACTTAAAACTTAATATTGTTTTAATTATTAACCTAAATAGCGTTTCAAATGCATTTTAGCTAAAAATGTGTTAAGGTCGATATGTTAAGGTCAACAGATGGCAGATGGCATCGGCGGCTGCAACGCCATCGATTTCGACGCTGCTGTCACGGTTCCAGCAGGCGCCGCTAGAGGGAGCCTTCGCGGGCGCCTTCGCGGGCGCCTTCGCGGGCGCCTTCGCGGGCGCCTTCGAGAGCGTCTTCGAGAGCGTCTTCGCGGGCGACGAAGCGCGCCGTGGTAAGCGAGGGAGGCAACCCGCTGCGGGGACGTGTCCAATTATTCGTATATCAAATTGTACAGTCGTTGAAGTTTAAGTCGCATAATTAAATACGTTTTTAACTTCCAAGTGTTTTATTCGCAAGCATCAATATCAGGGCCCAAACAAAAGATTAATCCTTTTATACCATACAATAAATATTAAAGTATTAATACAGAAAGAAGTGTGGTTATATATGTTATGTTAAAAATATAATCACGCTGACGACCATAGTATCAATCAGCGGCGGTTAAGGAGTTAAAACATGTGTTTAACTAAACAGTTGACCAAAATTCGATATTTCCATCACATATTTTACACGTTAGATTGTTTTCTATTTACAATTTGGTGGGACAAGCCCTAAAGATTTCATTGTTTGAATTCCGACTCGTTTTTTTCTTTGAAACAACGATTTTCTTTTGTTTCCTTCTAATCATAAACCCCAGATACTGAATGTATGAAATATTGAAGTGGGTTTTCACAACAAAAATGTCAAACAAAAATTAAATGCTATTCCAGTTTTATCAAATAAGTGTGACAGAGATAACGATAAATTTTCGTATGTTCGTTTAGGTTATGGAATCCTACGTTAAAGGTATATTACAATCAAGCTGTGTAGCGTGATGAATGGCATTACAATAGAAATTCATTAGCGTTCAGAGATACTTTAATTAATTACCCGTCAAGGGAGATGTGTCGGCTCTAATATCTCATGTTTACATGCCTCCCTAATACTTCTTATTTGAGTTTCAATTGTTTGCATCCACTCGCATGTTAAAAGATGAGCAAGAAAACTTAATTTGAAACTCGAATTTACAAAGGAATAATCTTATTAAATGTACATTTTAATGTTTATCATCTGTATGGTTTATTTTTGAAGAGTAATGTTGTAAATTAGATATATTGGTTATAATTTAGAAAATAGAATAGCACGACAAATAAAAGCATGTGCTAATTGTTAGTCCAGCGCCATCTATCGACGATTTTTACAAGCACTCAAATCTTTCATAATATATATGCTTTTCAACGAATTTATTGGTATAAATAGTAAATGAAGTTGATAAAATAACTACATAATCAAAAACCTTTCGCTAAAAGATATTCTAAAAACACAATTTAACCAAAAACGTGGCGTTTTAGATTTGAATACTCATCATACTAATATTATAAATGCGAAAGTTTAGATAGATGGATGGATGGATGTTTGTTAGAGTTTGTTGCCTACACAGCTGAACGGATTTCGATGAAATTTGGTATAGATGTAGAGGATGGAGGAGGATAGATGTAGAGATGTCTGGAAGAACATATAGGCTACTTTTATTTTTTTTTATTTATTTACATACAGAAAAGAAATATATAAAAATTTACAAATAAAAATGTCGCCAAACTGCACAGCAGTTTGTTGGCGACAAACACCCATTTCTTATAAATATACCTTAATGTATCTCCTACCTAATTATTATATATTTACTAGTTACATTAATCTTGTAAGAAATGAATTCCACGCGGACGGAGTCGCGGGAGGAAGCTAGTATATTCATATTCAGAAACCATAATATTGTTATTACAGAAGCTCGAAACTTAATTTTAACGCTCAGTAGCGCACCATCTGTTGCCAAGTCACATGAAAAATTAATGAAGATTTAAGAATTAATTAAAATCTACCCTCACTTCCGTTGAGTTCGATTAAGGTTTGTTCTAATTAATTTTTAAATATTTTGAAATCCTTTCAATCTTAATCATTATATTAATTGTTATACCTTCTAGTGTATGTAACAGTTGGGTAACGGTGAAAGAAATATTTCCTATGTTAATTCTTCCTAACATCAACCTACCCTTGTCCATACGGAGGGTCGGCACAGCACTGTTCATCCATACATCTCTATCAACCGTCATATTTGATTTCACTCCCTTCTTAAGCATATCTTCTTTCACACGATCCATCCTTACTTTCTTTGGTATTTGTCTTTGTTATCCACGTTTAATCTTAATACTTCGTTTATGTGATTCAATTAAATATTGAAAAATCACTGCATAATAAACCCTCTATAAGTTAGCGATATTTCCTCGATTGCGTCGCGGTTCGTCTTTTCCAATTTAAAACGAGATTGGACTTTCAGAAACACTCTCGCTATCAAAGTGATTTTCATCACTTCAAAATGCCAACGGAAATTGTGGGAAAAACTTAAACATTTATTTAATAAAAATATTGTTAACTAACCAAGAGGATATATAATTCCTAACCTAAAGGTAAAATGAGTAGAAAAAAATCTCGACTAAGAGACTATTAAGGTCCCATGTGAAACTCTCAGTTTTCTTATAAAAGACAATTTTCATAGTAGTCATTTTCATTACTATTACATTCTACTATTATTATTACTAATTACCAACATCGAAGTATTATGTTCTACAGAACATTGAATAATGAAACATAAAAACGTTCAACCTTATATCATTATCATAAATGTGACAAGGGTGCAAGTAATTGTACCCACATCACGATATTGTATTGCTACATTGCTTGTTATGTCGTACGCAGACATTAAAATAATATATAGACGAGGCATAGTGAACAAATTCCTTTTTCACCGGTACTTTCTCTGAAAGGTACTATGTAAGTTGTTTAGTGTCAGCCGTGCCCTTGTATTAGAATGTAATAAAACATTTTACAAAATTATAATAAGCTCTATCTTTTGTTATAAAATGAACTAAAGAGCGTAAAAAATTAAATACAATTTTGACATGTGGTTTTGATCCTAACAATAGTTAGCGTTAGTGATTATGTGAAAAATGTCTTAAGTGAATTTTAACTTTGCCTCCTCTGTATATTTGAATCTCTTTGACATAAAATGATACAATACGACGGTCTACTCGGCGTAAATTGTCAAATGGGTTATGTTATACGACTAAAATGGATATGACACTTATGCGAGTCGCTTTTTTGGTCATTCAAGTAGCCGACTTTTATTAGATAGGTAAAATGCGACTTATCTGACTCGATAGGTATGTGAAAATAACTCAGAGTCGTATAGTAGACATTGAAGGAGTCCTTTAGTAATGACTTATGACTATGAGTTCAAAGGGTACTGTTTAAAAATTTAAATTGGAGTTGATGCACCTGTAAATTTTTTTCGGCACAGAAAAATTTTTAACAACATCTAACATTTTGACAACTGATTAAAAGACTTTGTAATTCCGTTACGAACTTTCCTTAATTGATTGTTCTAAGGGTGCGTTAAGATCCCTTTCGGAAAAAAGTCAAAACTTTTTCAATTAAGACTGTAAAAGTATGGTCGAGAAAAATCGGTTTCCCGACTTTTTGTATACCCACAATACGAGAATTGAATACTAACGGATTCCCCACAAAATAGAACAAGTTAACAAAATCTATTTTAGCAAATTTTAATCATTAATGCTTTAAAAACTTTTATGTATTAAAAAAAAACGAAAGTAATCATCATTCAACTGGCTGTCGCCCGCGACTTCGTCCGCGTGGAATAAGAAAAAATACTTAGTTCTTACTTATGTGTTCTTCCAGACTGTTTTCTTCATTTTTGACAGGTTTCAGCGAGATCCGTATAGCCGTCATCCATCCATCTAAACTTTCGGATTCATAATATCACTAAAATAAACAAACCTATGGTACTTGAACCTTTATTTTTAGCTTCTTGTACCCAGGTGTACCTTATCCCATTAAGCCTAACGCAATAAAAGAAAACGAAGGAACAACGTAATGTCGTTTGTGTTTCAAAGCTTTAAATTGTCCATAAATTATTATTTCGAGGCGTGCTAAGTCCCTAAGGGACAAAAACATCGTAAAAAGTTTTTCAATTAAGAATTTCTACGTTGACATCACTTAAGATTGCTTTTATAGAAAATGTTGCATTTGATGAGATTTCATTTTTTATAAAGTCGGAATACGAAAGTCGTATATCTCTATAGTTGAACAGTAGCGACTGCCAGTTATGGTACAGACACACTCCAGTAAGTGTTCACACTATATTGATGGCCAGTCCTGTGATTGAGTGCTACTCATCAACTTCACTGGCCAAGAATCGCATAACTCCAGAACTCTGGAATAGACAGATAACAGTACATTGGCTCCTCGCTTAATGTTTTTTCCCACATTAACGAAGTCGCAGTCACGTGCAAGTTTATAATAATATTGTAAAGAGGAAAGATTTGTATTTTTGTATGTATTGAAATAACACAAAAACTTCTTTCAACATTTAAAAGCTACACTACCAGTGAGTAACATATTATAGAGTATATATTATTGAGTCCACGCGGACGAAGTCGCAAAACACAGCTAGTATTCTATAAAAACAGTAGTTCATAACGATAGAGTAACTTTTTCTTATTTTCCTCATACGATGAGAGAAAACTCGAGAAAAGTTTGAAATAAGCTTACGGAAAGTGTAAACTTTCGAGCTAAGTGTGGGAATTTATACTGAGCTTTAAATTCTCTAGCTATGTAAATAAAGTAATAAAAGTTACACTACTTCAGTAGCTTGTTTTAAATTCTTTTATTGTGGATAGTTAAAGAATTTAATTCGATTACCACATAAGTTCAAATAACAGAAGAATTATTAGCTGGATATGTTTGGAGAATTTTTAGCGGGAAATTTCCTAAAATGGGTATGAAATTAATTATCTACTGAACATAACATATAAATAATTCAATTTATTAATTCCTTATACTAATCTTGCTAACATTATGAATGCGAAAGTTTAGATAGTTGGATGGATATTTGTTAGAGTTTGTAGCCTAAACGGATCTCGATGAAATTTGGCGTAGACCTAGAGGATAGCCTGGAAGAACGCATAGTCTCGCTTTTAGTATTCCACACGGACAGAGTTGCGGGCGAAAGCTAATTGTAGAATATATTTTCCTAAATAACTAAATTCGTTTCGTACTAAAACTTTATATTTTAATTTGTAGCTAAATTTTAAGACCAGATAATTGAGAGAATCCGCATCAAACCGCAAAATTACTTAAAGCAATATTAAGCTGGGTTTATTATGAAGAAAAACAAAGGTCCCAAAATTAAATTTTCCATACAAAAGGTTTGTTCTTTCAATATCAAGCTTCTGTTTGTCTTATGTACACGATCAATTTGTTTTATGATTTTAATTAATTTAATTCGGGATTTACTGTCTTACAGTCGTTAAATGATTACTAAGGTATCCGCTTAGTATAAAGTATTGAAACTCTACAAGGCTTAAGTTAGTTTGTCGTATCCTCTAAACAACCTTTAGCAATAAAATTTATTTTTACTTTAAAAATAACTTTTTTTTAAATTATAATGTATGTTCATTATAATAAACTAATAATTCGCCATAACTTCGTCTGGGCGGCAAGGATTATATTTTTATATATTTTATAATATATCTTTTCTGCCATGTCCATACTCTTCCCATTAATATAATGTTAATTATAGCCTATATTAGTCCGTAATAGAGGGGTACACCGGTAGAGGGAGACATAGAAAGAGATGGATGGATTGCGTGAAAGGTGACATAATCAAGAAGGGAGTGATGACTGAGATGACGGATGATGGAGTTATTTGGAGGAGGTTATCTGGTGCGTCGACACTACGGAAGTAGGATAAGGTAGGGAAGACGATTAGTCAGTGATATTATAGCTTTTTAACAGTGTAAAAAATTTTCAAATCGGTTAAGTAATTTTAGAGCCTGTCATGCAACCAAATCTTTTCTCTTTATAATATTAGTATAGAAAATGTTGCGTTATATAAGTCCTAATCTCTCGCAAGATAATCTAAGAGTTAGCTTAGTACTCAAGTTAGAGCAAATATAAGTAAAAGATGAACAAAGCACAAGTAATACAAGTGTTTGCTCGAGAACAAGGACGTTATGTTCAGGAATTTAAATTGCTTCTGTAAAGTTTTCGTGCTGAATATTTTGTTCCTTATCTGTACTACTATGTACTATTATAGTAAAGCGTAAACACGCACTTATTAGTTATGTAACTTATCAGCACTCACACTACATTTTCGAATAACAATTTCTTTTTATACATTTTTATATTTTCACGCTATTAAACTTAGGGGATAAATAAATTAAAAAACCGTCCTTGTCTAGGAAACGGTAATGGTTATTCAATTGCAAATCGTTCTCATTTGAATTTTGACATTCTCAATTGAAATTAGTTAGTAGTAGAAAGTACAAATGATAGCAACGAATTAAAGTTTTTATAATTTCATGCGGATGAAGCCGCACGGGAACAGTTCGTCTTTCATTAACTTGGGATAAAGAATTTATTTTAAATTAACGAAAAATAGGAACAATAACTTAACAAGTGTTATCAATAATTTAAAAAATCTTTTTGACGTTTAAACGCAAAACCTGACTAATTTAATTCAAATCGTATTTTATTAACTGCGACAATGACAGATGCGTTTATTAGTTCCCGGACCAAAGCGGGAATAATGTAATTTATCAAATGTTGTTTATTTAATCGACTTCCGCGTGAAACAGACCGGATCAATTATCCAGCTGTATTTTCAGATTACTGCAATCGAGCGCCATCTATTGATGCTTGATTTTACTAAAAGCTGTTCAATTAATCAGAACTGATTTCACGCTATGAGAGGTCTGATTGATTTTCTATCTTTTTACGGTATGATAAACACTTTGCCTACATTTTACTAGTAACTTAATAATATAACTACTGCTATGATTTACTACTAGGTGTTGCTACGGCCGCGTGAAAAAAAAACAATAAAAAACAGCCTGTGTTACTGATTGATATCGTAGCTTTTCAATGGTGAACTATATTTTTAAAATCAAACCAGTAATTTTTGTGTTACTTTAATACATACAAAAATACAAATCTTTCCTCTTCATAATATTAATATAGATTGATAATATAACACTAATAAATATTTTTTTATTTTTTTTAACGCAGAAATAAAAACAATGTCAAAAGTATTAACGTCACTTCCAATAGACATGGCTTTTATGAATATTTTGCATGGAATGGCATCTGCCTCTTTGGCAATGGAACAAAACGATGTCACCTATGGCACTGAAATACATCCGAAAGCAAATATCCGTACAATTCGAGCGGCCATTTGTACTCTCACAACTTTGAAATGTCATTCAGTCTGTTTGTTCCGGAAACGGTATTCTTACTCGGTAAAATCCTGGTACACTTTTACTTAAATCCAAAGATAAAGTTAATAAGCCTTAAAATTCGCCTCAAATGTTAAATTATAGTTAATAGTGATTAAAATCAGTGACAAAAAAAAACTTAAAATACAATAAATCATCACCACCACTATCATATCATACTAATGTTATAAATGTGAAAGTTTAGATGGATGGATGGATGTTTGTTAGAGTTTGTAGCCTTAACGGTTGAACGCATTCCGATGAAATTTGACACAGACGTAGAGAATAGTCTGGAAGAAGACATAGGCTACTCAGTTTTGTTTTATTTAATTTAACGCGGTCGGAGTCGCGGGCGATAGTTAGTTATCTATACTAGTAAGTCAAAACTATACAATATAATCCGACTAAGATTAACGCAGTGAAGGTTAAATTAAACTCACTTATCTCCTCTCTTCCACAATCGGTCGGTTTATAACATTAGTGGAGAAAATTCATAGGTTTTAACGCTGACACTGATTGATGCCTTCATTACCTTCTGACCCGAAGAGATAAATAATGCAATTAATCAACGGCTGTTTAATCTATCGACTGCGCGGCGAGAGTTAAACAACTCCAAACAATTAGTCAATGGCATTTAACAAATTATCAGAATCAATACAACTCAGTATTTAATCCTACTAAACTACAATTTTAATCCATAACCTATCGAATAGAGTAATAATTAAAATTGTTAATAACATGTGCTTACTGAAGGTGCGTTATCCAATGAATTTTACATTTTAGAATCACGTTAACTCAAAAGTTTATAATCATACCACCTTAAACGCAAGGTTATACAGCGCCATCTATTAACAAAACTTGTCATCTATTTATAAAAATTATCTTTTATTTTTATTTATTCGTTAGTACATTCTTTTGAAAAACTTCGCTTACACAAAATAATATTAGTTTCGTACAAATGGAAGAAGTAGAACTAATTTTTAACTTTGCTTAAAAAGTTCAAAGGTTTCTGAGTTGGTCGTCGTCAGCTTTCTACTTTCTACTTATTTTTATGGCTGCGCAATTTAAAAAGTTATTTCTCATAACTGTACTGAGTATTGTTATATAATTTATTTCAAAAATAAATTAGTAAACTGTTTTTTTATTATCAACATCTACAGACTCCTGGTCCGTACTTTTTTTGCACAGTTTATGTTTTTCTTTTCTTTTTTTTGTTGCGTAATCCTCCTTCCTTTTTTCATTATATATTTACATTTTTTATTTTTTTTTCTTTTAACACTAAAGTAAACTGGTTAAAACTGTGGGGTTTGTTCGCATTTGCTCTCCATCATACTACCTTTCATTAGATGTGTGTCAGAACTGAACTTAAAACTTAAAAAGAGCTCCCTGCTCCTCAGCCGCTAAAAAACTCACTTAACGTGATATACTAAAACGATGGGCGCTGATAAGCCGCGAAATGACCGGTGATTCGCAATTCGCAAATCAATTCTCTATGCTTATACAAAGCTTATCTACGATCAGATTCTTTGAACTGTTTCGCTTTATTGCTGTGAGCTGATCTACAGATGTCGGCACAGTAAGTACTTCTCTACTATACACC